TTGTTTTCTCAATTGAAGAACGGAGGTGCCTGTGTCAGCTGATACCTGAGGATGTAGCGAACTTGATCTCCAGGCTTCCATTATGCTAGGGAAATTCCCCTCACTGCTTATCTTTGTTAAAAAATGAAAGAGATCTGGATCCTTTGGTTCTGCTTTTCCCCCAGACAACACAGTACTTAGAGTGCTTGGCGGGACTTGTCATCCCTCAAGTTGTCACTGCAGTGTGGGCTCTGATAATAACCAACAAGCAAAGGACAGGCAGATTATCTCCAAACACGGGCCACCAGATCTTTACCAACAATAGGGTTTCAAGGAGAAAAGCAGTCACAGGAGGTGAAATGTCAGTTTCAAGCAAGGGTTACTATTCAGTGGGACAAGAACGGACTACTGCGAAAATGAGAGCATCCTCAGAGTCCTACTACATTCCCTTTCAGGATCGTCCCCCCACCCCAGTGGTGACTCGCCCTCTCTCCCCGAAGCCTCCTATCCCACTTCCCAGTTTCCCTAGTAACCCCACTCTTATCAAACTGCCTGGTTGTTCAAGGATCCAGAAATTAGTCCTACTAAGGGCTTCTGTCTCAGGAGAGATGGAAAGGAAGCCATGTCAGGAGGAAGGTGCCACAAGGTGGAAGGGCCAAAGGCCAGAATAAGGGAACAGCAGGCATTTAGCTGGATCGGGGAGGTGGGGACAGTGGAGCAAGGCAGCGTGGGGTGGGGTAGTGGCTGCTCTTAGAGGGTACAGAAGTCTTCTTTCCCATTCGCTGCCAACCACATTTTTCTTCCTTTAGGAGAAGGTCATACCTTCGGTGGTCATAGAGCCCGCCTCCAACAATGAAGGGGAGGGAGAACACGAAGACACCATGGGTGCAGAGTCCAAGGAGGCAACTGTTGACGCGGTTCTCCCGGGCTCCACCGGCGAGACACCAGCGCTGGCCTCAGAGGAGCAGGAGGCAGGCAAGGCCTCCCAGCCGGCCGCCCCCTCCGCAAGCGAGGCCCTCCAGGAAGGGCCTCCCGGTTTCCTCTACAAGGTCTTAACATTTCTTCTTTTTATTTTGCTTTTTTTTTTCTTATTTTATTCAATGTCAGGAAAATGTAATAGAAAAATCTGTCACTTTGGATGGAGAACAGAGTGCAATTAAATTTAGCCCTACTTGAGAACTGTGTTGCATTTGATCTGCAGTTAACCGAGGTTCATTGTTTAGTTCAAAAGCTTGTACGTTTGGTTGTCTTATCTGCACAAAGGGATACATTTGAAGTGCCACACCTGATTTTTAAATATATTTTCAGTTCTCTATGACCTGCGATACAGTTTTACTTAAATTAAAGCTGATTCTCTTTTCAAAAGGAGAAATGTGTTTCAGATCTCTTAACATTTGTTATTTTTTAATCTGGTGGCCATTTGTCCTTCCTTTGCTTTGAGGTCCTTTTGTGCAAATTTGGTTGTCTGATTTTTCATCTTTTTGCTATATGTATTTGTTCTCTGACTGCCGTGGGCTTTATTCCCACATCCCATTGTAACACAGCAAGGTTTCCACGCTGCTGGGCTACAAGAACCACGGTCATGTCTCTCCATATTTTAACAACCAATAATTAAAGAAAGTTCGCCACAGGGTAAATGATATGCCCCTTGGTAGTGAATGGGTGGATTTCTTCTTGGTAGTGAATGGGTGTGCCCTCCCGAGCTCCCCCTAGAGCCCAGGGCTTGAAATCATCTGTGTGCTCATCTGGTCCCCCATGGAGGGCAGGGTACATGAATCGTTCAGTCAGCTCTGGCACCTTGTTGTAGTGCATGGCACAGAGTAGGGAGTCAGTAAGTATTTTGAAAGTTAATAACTATCTTAATGGGCTTCCACGATAAGGATAAAAAATAATGGCAAGAAGGTTTTGCTCAGAGAGGCCATCAAATGGCTACTAAAGTCTTCATAAATGGAAGGGTGCATACCAAAAACCCAGTAAATACCTAATACTTAAGCCTAATACCCTAGTTTAAGCCAGGGGTTAAAGGCAGATAATCCTACCTAACAGAATATAGTTGGAATGTTAATTTGCATGTTTGATTTTGCATTTCCTAATTCAGCTCTTTGTCTTTTAAAAAGTGTTAACTCTATGTGTGTTTGTCGGGGTGGGATTGGGTAGAATCCTCTTCTTCTCTCTCTGCTCATCAGAAAGTAACTGCTACCTTGTCACCTCCAGTGGGTCCAGGTGGGATTGATGAATGAATTAATGTGGAGAAAAAAGCTAGACTTGTGGCCAGTGAGGACATGTGTCCCACTGGGTTCTGTTTTAAGAAGAGGACATGAAATCAAGGGGGCAGGTGCCATGCAAAGCCAGGCCTGGCTGGGTCCCTCCCTGGCTTTGCCCACTAGCTGCAGTGTGAGCTGGGGAATTGCACTTACCCTCTCTCTGGGCTTCAGTTTTCTCATCAGAAAAATGAATTTCATAGTCATTTCCAGCTCTGACATGTTATGATTCTGTATGCAGAATACACAACTTAAAAGCCAGGTGTTTAATCTTGGCAGTGGGGTTGAGGCGAGGGATATGGGAGAGAGAAAACTGGCCATGACTAAATCATTATCCAAGCTGGGTGATGAGTCCATGGGGGTTCATTATAGTACTCTTTCTCCTTTTGCTTTTAAAAAATTTTCTATAATCAAATTTTAAAGAAATCTTTCCAAAAAAAAGGGGAAAGAAGGGTGGTGGGTTAAGACAGATGTTGTTAAAAGATGCAAACTTGCAGCAAGTAGTCAAGTAGACCTAGAGATCTAATCCACGGTGAATATAGATGACACTGTTGTATTATAGTTATCAAACCTGCTAAGAGACTAGAACTTAATTAACCCAACCACTAAAAAGAAATGATAATTATGTAACCTGATCAGGAGCTAGCTATGGCTACAGTGGCGATCATATTACCATATATAAATGTATCAAATTAACACGGTGTATACCTTAAATTATACAATGTCACATGTCAAATATATTTCAGTTAAAAACCAGAAAAAGAGAGAAGGAAAAGAAACATTGTCATGATTTAAAGGGTAAGATAGGGAAGGAAGTTTGCTTATAAAGAAATTGATCACAGGCTTAATTAGTAATTCCTATATAACATGCAAGCTCTCAATTATTATTTTACAGAAGCTGGGGTTAGAGGAACTTTTCACTAGGTATCTTTACTTCAGGTTAAAAAATAAACAGTAACAAAACATTGATGATAATACAATGCAAATCTCTAACAAAAATATGATGAATTAAAATTTCATTAATGCACTACATTTTAGTTCTTGCAGAAGGCATTGCTTTACTAAATATACATTCAAGTGGCCTCAGTATCAGTCTGTAAGACTCGGATATTTTAAGTAAACAGAGATTAGGATTTCTTTTCTGTCTTCAGCGGCTTTCTTCCTTGGGGTTTGACTCATCTTCATCCTATTTTATCCAGCTTGGAGATGCTTCTTAGAGAGCCTGCTGATAATCTGGCTGAGAGACTTTAATTTTACATCTCCTTTTCTTTCTAAAATGAATCAGTTCTCTTACAATCTTTTGCAGGTGGAAACACTGCATGATTTCGAGGCAGCAAATTCTGATGAGCTTACCTTACAAAGGGGTGACGTGGTGTTGGTGGTGCCCTCAGATTCCGAAGCTGACCAGGTAAAGGATGAGAGTGGAAAGTACTGCAGGCTGTATTGGTTTTTTCTGAGAGTCAGTTGGGCACAGTGACTTCCTGAAGACATTTCTACCTTCTGAGATGCTGTGTGACAGCTCTGAAAAGGGTTTAAGGTCACAGCATCACTAACTAGATTTTTAGGACACTTCTTTTGGGGTGCCATTGGGATGCTATTATATATATATATTTTTAATACAAATAGATGACAAAGCATAAATTACCAATATCAGGCAAAAGTGTCTAGGTATCTGAAAATCATTAAACACGTCATTATAAACACGTCATATGAAAATATGTAAAATATATACAAAATATATTGTATACTTATAAAATATATTATAAAATATAAATTTATATATATTTTTGCATTAACCATAAGTTATCTTTTAAAGAAATAAAGAGAAAAAAAGCTAGTGTTTTATATTTACCAACATGTTTGCCATTTCCAGTGCTCTGATTTCTTCCTATAGATCTGAGTTTCCATCTGGTCTCAATTCCTTTCCAGTTGAAAAACTGAGTCCTAGAGTGCTGATCTAGCAGTAAATCCTCTCAGCATTTGTTTACATGACGTTTATTTGATGCCTTTATTCATGTTCATTTTTAAAGATTTTTCACTAGAGGCAGAATTCTGAGTTGGATTTTTTTTTCTTTCAGCTCTTTAAAGATGTTGCTCCATTGTTTTCTGCTCTCTCCTATTTATATTACAAGTCAGCTGTAATTTGTTTAACCTTGTTTCTCAGGATACACTGTGTACTCAGTATACACTGTGTATACTTAGTATACACCTGAGTACTTTTTAGAATTTCTCTGTATCTTTGGTTTTCATCAGTTCAGCTATAATGTGCTTAGGTGTTGGTTTTTTTTTTTTTGCGGTACGCGGGCCTCTCACTGTTGTGGCCTCTCCCGTTTGCGGAGCACAGGCTCCGGACGCGCAGGCTCAGCGGCCATGGCTCACGGGCCCAGCCGCTCCGCGTCATGTGGGATCTTCCCGGACCGGGGCACGAACCCGTGTCACCTGCATCGGCAGGCGGACTCTCAACCACTGCACCACCAGAGAAGCCCAGGTGTTATTTTTTTTATAGGTTTCATGCTTGGGGTTCATGAGCTCCTTAGACTTGTATCTTGGTTTTTTTTTATTACATTCGGAAGATTTTTGGCTATTATTTCCTAATTTTTCTCTCTCTTTCACCTCTTTTTCCTCTGTCTCCAAGTATATATATGTTGGACTTCTTGATGTCTAAGACTCTGGGTTTTTTGTTCAGTATTTACTCCTCTTTGTACTCACATTGGATAATTTCCCTTGATCTTCTTTGAGTACAGTGATCCTTTCTTCTGCTGCTTTGAATTTGTTGTTAATCTGATCTTGGGAATTTTTAATTTCAGATATTACTTACACAGGTCTATAATTTCTATGTTTTCTTTTATATAGTTTCTGTTTTTTGCTGAGATTTTCCCATCTATTCTCATTATTACCGTCTTTCAGTTTAAGTACTTGAACCGAGTTACAATAGCTGCTTTAAATTTCTTAGTAGTTCTCTCTCTCAAGATAGTAGTTCTGGGCTTCCCTGGTGGCGCAGTGGTTGAGAGTCCACCTCCCGATGCAGGGAACGCGGGTTCGTGCCCCGGTCCGAGAAGATCCCATATGCCGCTGAGCGGCCGGGCCCGTGAGCCATGGCCGCTGAGCCTGCGCGTCCGGAGCCTGTGCTCCACAACGGGAGAGGCCACAGCAGTGAGAGGCCCGCATACCCCCCGCCCCCAAAAAAAGATAGTAGTTCTCTCTTTCAAGATATTCTCCATAAAAGTGCTCCTCTGAATGCCCTGCGTCACCCAGACTGAGGCTGATCCTCAGGGAGAAAGCTCTATTAACAGATCTCACCCAATGCAGTTTCAAGGGTCAAATACCCCCCAATTTCTACCTGCTTTTGGTCATTCTCAGTGCCTTCAAATAGTTGTTATACATGCACAACTCCGTTATTTGTCAAATTCTAATATATAAACTTATACTTTATAGCTGTCATTTCTAAATATAAACAGTTGCATTTCTGTATGCATATGTATATATAACTACATATAAATATATAGTTGTTCTAGTGTTTATAAATGTTCTATGCAAAAGCATGTGTCTGATACCAGCTATTTTGCCACTACCAAGACTGGCAATCTTTAGTCTACCACATGTTTGAAGCAGTTAAAATTTAATTTTCTATATTTTCCTCACTGAAGATTGATATTAACTATGATTCTTCACTTTATAAGTTGCATTTCAGAATGTATGTGTTGGAATATATCTTGATTATGGGTTTGTGCCAGCCCTTTGTTTTTATTTTTATTGAAATTATTTTAAAATGCGTGACTCCACTTGGCTGCATTAGATTTTTCACCCGCTGTAAATAAAGTCAAATATAGACACTTGAGGGGCAAATGTGACCTTTTATATGTCTACTAGAGGTTTAGAAAATATTTAGTTATCATCTTTTACTCTAAGTATAACTTTGTCCTTCACATACATAACATCATAATTTTATAGAGGACACTTCTCCTCATCAGCTAGGATTTTATCAGTTATTTTATTGAATCATTTTTTTCTCAGTGTTATTTTTTTCTGCCTTCAAATATTGGCCTGTCTAAGTGCTTAGATTTCTTGTCTATATAGCAGCATCAATTTATGGTCTCAGATTATCTCAAAGGGAATGTATTCAGCTTCTTTATTTAATTTTTGAGACCTTGTTTTATCTGCTGTACTTGAACTATATTGGGGATTGGTTCAGAGTAAATCCGGCTATCCCTCATTTTAAGTGGGATCTCTTTCCTGCATTGGTTAACATAATAAAGGTAGTCATTTCCCTCTCGTTTCACTTCATACGGTCTGTGCGTTTAAAATAGTTCCTTCAACTCAGCTTTTCCCAACTAGACTCTGCTTATCTCCAGAAGGCCTAGGGCAGATGGCAACCTCTGTTTCCCAGTTTTACGTTTGGTCTCCCGTGCTGTATGACCATGCATGGATGGGTTCTTTAAACTTTCCGTGGTTAACTGTCTTCATTTTTGTGAGGGCACGCCTATATGATAGACAAATGTTTATGAGGAGTAATTTACAAAGACTCTACAAATGTTTCCAGCAAGAATGTCATGACATCAAACAGCTTTGTAGTTTATATAAACTTGAAAAACAACAAACACAATAGTGATATCAGGCAACACATATCGAGCTGTTGGTATTTGGTAAGCCTTCTATATGGTGGTTTATTTCAGTTACATGATGTGAGCTGGCAGACAGAGTTCCTTCTTATAAGCAAGTGGTTGAGGATGAAATAAAAGCCCTTCCATGGCCTTGTCAGCACTATATTCCAGCCCACTGGTCCTCAAGCCTTTTTTTCACTGTGATCCACAGGACAGGAAATGGTCCTGTGTGTGATGTCTTCACCCAGTGTTCCTCTCTTTACACTGGCTATAACCCTTCCTTCCTTCCTTCCTTCCTTCCTTCCTTCCTTCTTTCCTCCCTCCCTCCCTCCCTCCCTCCCACATTGCTCGGCTTGTGGGATCTTAGTTCCCTGACCAGGGTTTGAACCCGGGCCCTCGGCAGTGAGAGCATGCAGTCCTAACCACTGGACTGCCAGGGAATTCCCTGCACTGGCTATAATTCTAATTCTTTCCTCTTCCTTAAGGACTTACGTCATAATCCAGGGAGCATCAATTAACTATACTTTATACAAAATTATAATACTAATATTAACCTTCAATTAACAATATACATAAAATAATTTCAACTGTTTACTCCTTTTTTTTTTTTCTAACTAACAACTTACTTGGGACAAGCCTTCCCCCTGAGCTCAGCACACCTGTTTACATGTAATGCATCATCCTCGTGCAGGACCACAATGCTCATTAAACCCATTATTTTATTAATCTTTGGCAATGCAGATTTTTTCCAGTAGTTTGTTGGACTCTGAAAGCCCTGTCTTTGTCTTGCAGGATGCAGGCTGGCTGGTAGGCGTGAAGGAATCAGACTGGCTTCAGTACAGAGACCTCGCCACGTACAAAGGCCTCTTTCCAGAGAACTTCACCCGGCGCCTGGATTAGGGCCAAAAGTATTGTAGAAAGAGCCTGTTTACTGGGTTTTTAAACCTTTGTGAAATCCTGAAGAGCTCACTTTTGCTATGACACTCTTAGTGATTTGCAGACCAATGCCAGACAAAGTTTGGGAGGCTATGTCAATGAAGCATGTGTGCAAACAAATGTTTAGAGGCAAAAAAACCAAGTAAATTAAGGAAAAAGTCTTCACTAGTTCCCACGTTCTTGCTAACAGGTTTGTTTGTGCTTTGTCCAAGCTGTGGAGACTTGTATAGTCGACCCCCTCCCACCAGTTTCTAAAGTAGCTTTCTCCAGACCAGAACCTTAATTTCTCTGCACCAAGTGTATGGTATTGAGTGGCTTCCCTGCAGAAGACGTGATGAATTGTCCTGTAATACGAGATTATCTATTCCCCTGTGCAGGTGTGAGCACGTGCTCTCTCTCTCTCTCTCCCTTTCACATTTACTGTGTTTAAAACGAAACTGCTGCAAAAGTTGTCACTGTTCTTCACCAGCACCTCTCTCTCTATATATATATATGGACACACAGTCACACGAGCTATTTCTCATCACTCCTGGATCTATGTGTATGCACAAGGCTACATATACATAGTTGCGCTCTCTCCTTTCCATTGTAGCTTTTAGCCTCTTATGTGTCATTGATACATGCGTTGCTCTCATTCCGTCTGGAATCACAGTTGCAGTTTTGCCTCTGGGCAAAACCAGCCATCCCATTGCCAAAACGGTGGACAGTATCTGTGTTCGGAATGTGCATTCTTCAGGATGCGATGACTAATGGCACGTCGGAGCTGCTGCCCCTTTGGAGAAAGCAGAGTCTGATGATCTGGATGTCCGGCCACCAGGACTGGAGGTGGGCGAGTGGGGATTAGCAGCTAAATTGTCTTAATTTCTGCCTTTCTGAGACTGGCTAGCTGATGATCGGGACATTTAAATCCACCCCCAAAGAACACTATTTCAAAAAGCTCCTATATATTTCCACCTCTTTTTATTGATGCAACTCATCTTCACAGATCGTCCGAAAATAAGGTATAGATGATGTATGCTGTATCCACAAGTCATCTGTAACGAGTCTGTTTTCAGTGCTGTGTCATTCCAAATAAACCTTGGGTAATTTCCAGCAATGACCTTGACTCCTTCCGATGAGTCATTTGTTATGAAAGCTTGTTTCATTCGGGTACACTGCTCGAAACAGTCTATGTTGGAGTTGTTATTTGTGCAGAAATACGCTTGTTCCTCCGGGTTGTGTTCCACAGCCCGCCTCCCTTCCGCAAACCCCTGCATCCCAGTCATTGCTGGTCACTCGGTGGTCCCTGCTGCCTGGCAATCACTACAGCACAAATAACAGCTTTCAGTGGAGGCCCCTCCGAGGTGCCGGCTCTCGCTGCCCTAGTCTGTGTAACACAGAAATCTGACGACGTCCATAATCAGCAGTTTCTTCTCACACCAGCCTCATTTTTTCAGTTACTTTTCTTTCTGACATGTTTATATTTGGAGGTACATACAAAAAAATAGATTAGATGACATAGAAGAGTCAATTCACTGGACCATTGTTTATAGAAGAGAATTCTTAAAACCCTTTCAGTTGATTTAGACTCTTTTCTGCTAGTATAATTGTACTCAATATAAGCTGATCTAGAATGGGTGTTATGAGAATTTTAAATTCGGTATGTATTAGTGATTCGTGATTTCATTTCTCCTGGTGGATTACTGACTTGGACGCTTAGAGGGTGGGTAAGTGTTGATAGAGAAACAGCTATTATCGACCCAAGATTTTTCCAGGGGCTGATTTCCAGGGAAACTGGATCATCATGAAAGGCCTTGACCCAGGAAGCCCTATCCTAGCCTCCTCTTCATCTTTTAAGATTTCTCTTACAATTCTAGTAGAACTCAGACCTTCAGATAGATCAGAGGACCTTCACAAAGTCAGACACAGAAGCCTATGGTTCCTATAAACATACACCTACTTGGCATTCCTGCCAATTCCACATACAGACTGAGTGACGTATATAGTCGCAGGGCAAAGCCCTCAGACAATTTGGATTTTTAATAATATCTCAGTGCCACCTGGGATGGAAAAGCTCCATGCACCATGCTGTCACACTGCTTCCACCTGGGCCAGCCCTTTCTGACCACGCCAGGATAGCTTTTGAGTGAGCCAGAACCCCACATCCATGGGCTTCCGTGGAAAGAGTATGCAGGTTCAGAAATCTGAGCCCTCTTATTACCTAAAAAAGCCCAAACTCAATCTACTAGAAAAACCCAGCATGGCCCCATGGTCCATTCTGATGGCCCATTCAAGAAAAAACCTTTGGGAAACTGCAGGAAGTTTAAGAAATCAATGAGTTTAAAGAGATGACTGAGACTCAGTGCTTTATTTCACACAAAATGCATGAACACCTCAAAGCCTGAGAAATAACTCATTTGCCTTTTTGCTAGGACTCTCCTGCTCTTTTCAAAGGAGCCCAAGCTGCCTTCTGATTTGTACTTGGAACCCAACTAAAGACTTTATGAACACTGTGTACCAGACCTCGGACATGAGCTGGTCACACAGTTTTCTTGGGTAGTGGTGTAGCTACTGTCTTCCCGGCATGATGTATAATAGCATCGTCCTAGGACTTGGATGAATGACATCAGACATTGGTAGCTGCATGGAGGAGATGGTGACCAGTATTCTCTTCGCAAACTTAGAAATCTGAGAGCCGTGTGCTTCTGCTCATCCTCGACTCCACAGCAGGGCCGGGACTAGACGAACCCTAGCTGTTCAGGGCCGCCTTCCTCAAGGTGTATAGCGTGGGTTTGATACGTTTTTCATAACAACCAATAAAATATGCTAAAATAAGCTTAATAGTCCATCCAAATATTGGGTGGGTCCAAAAGTTCATTTTATGGAAAACCCGAATGAACTTTTCGGCCAACCCAAGAGTTAGTGGCTCATTGGTTATCCTTTGTTATGATTGCTTACTGGGAACACATACTGACTTTTTCCATTGAAGGGGTAATTGAGACACACCCCTTAATTCTATGCAGATTGAGAGGCAGGCTAGGTACCTTGAAACTCTTTCAAAGGCTATCTAAACTCACTTTCTTAAAATCCAGTTAATTCCCAGTCCCCTTCGGTCTCAGGTCCAGCACTGAGGTTGCCTCATTGTTATAGGTTGGTTCAAGGTCATGTGCTTATTCCTACTCCTCTGTACCCACCAGGGTGCGTCTGCCATTTGCTCTGGGAAAACACCTCCTGATGCCTTTTAGTGCCATGAAAACCAGTGCAGGAGCGCCTGGTCTACGGCACATTGCCACACGGCTGACACCCTTACACCCTCCCCCTGTTAATAAATAACATCAGACTCAGTGTCCTTACACTCTGCTCTCCAAAAACTGGCCAGTGACCACCAAGTGATTTCTGCGACATCTGATGATGGCGCCAGACTTCTCCAAACTCTCTGTAAGGTTCCAAGAGACTCATTTTCCTTGTTTTCTTGCTTCTCCCAATGGCTGCTGGAGTGGGGCGGC